TAAATATGCGGATAGGGAGAGTCAACTTTCTCACTGTCAGGGAGAGAAGGTAGAAATAAGGAAGGAAGGCTAGAAGGAATCTTGTGAGGCTGAATTCAAGTCAGAGGTAACAGCATTGACTCATGGTTTTTGTTGTTGTTAGTACAGTATAGATAGAGCAGTAGTTAGATGGATAAATATAGATGTGTGTGCACAAGTTAGTACACATACATATATTTTCTAGCTCTAGCTACTGAAAGGGATTGAAAGCAGTAGCAATGAGTGTAATTACTCATAGTAATTGATTTCTGAACACCATTCTCTAATAAAAAGAACTAGAGTTCCTTGGAAAACTGGTTGATTCCAAGGCTGCGGCAGGAAAAGTATGAGTCTGGAGTATCTTGTGGCTCTAGAAAGTAAGGAAGTGTCCCAAAACCAAAAAACAAAACAAAATAAAATAAGACAAAACAAAAAACAGAAGGGGCAAAAAAAGTGATACAGGAGCCATTCCGAAGGGGCTCCCAGTGGACAAAGCTGGAACAATTTAAAAGAACAAAATGCTCATATTGATGTTAATAAATAACTGAATAAACAAATGAAGGAAGAAGAAGGGTCATCTATTCCTTCCAGAAGAATTCCAATTAATAAATTTGGCAAGAATGAGGGAAATGGAAAATTACCATTTGAACAGTAATAATTGCCACAGGCAAGGTTCATCAGTGGTTGCTAAAATTAATGGGTACCAGTTTAAACAGAAACAGGTTTGCATAATCTTAAAGTATGTCTCTTCAAATACTTAGTAGCTTTACAGTGAAGAATCAACTGTAGGCAGTGGCCGATATCACCTTGACCAATGAATTGCAGTTAACATCAAGTAATACAGATTAACTTAGCATACTTTCTGATACCATGCACTGACCATTTTAGATACCTCATATAAGTGCAGTCATGCAGTATTTGTCTTTCTGTGCCTGGCTTATTTCTCTTAGCATAATATCCTCAAGGTTTATATATGCTGTCACATATTGCAGAATTTCCTCCCTTTTTAAGGCTGAATAGTATTCCATTGTATGTATACAGCACATTTCCTTTATTCATTTACCTGTTGATGGACATTTAGGTTGTTTCCATGTCTTGGCTATTATAATTAATGCTGCAATGAACACAGGAGTGCTAATATCTCTTCAAGATCTTGATTTCAATTCTTTTGTATAAATATCCAGAAGTGGGGCTGCTGGATCATATAATAGTTGTATTTTTAATTTTTTGAGGAGCCTCCATACTGTTTTCCATAGCAGCTGCATCATTTTGCATTCCGCCAACAACAGTGTGCAAGGGTTCCAGTTTCTCCACATCGTGGCCAACGCTTGTCTTGTTTTTTTGATAACAGCTGTTTTATAAATGTGAGGTGATATGTCATTGTGGTTTTGATTTGTGTTTTCCTGATGGTTAATGACATTTACCATTTTTTCATTTACCTGTTCGCCATTTTTATGTCTTCTTGGCAAAATGTCTATTCAAGTCATTAGCCCATTTTATAAGCAGGTTATTAATTTTTTTTACTGTTGAGTTATAGGAGTTCCTTACATATTTTGGAAATTAATCTCATCAGATATATGATTCGAAAATATTTTCTCCTAATTCTGTGTATTTCCATTTCACTCTACTGATTGTTTCCTTGGCCATGCAGAAGCTTTTTAGTTTGATGTTGTCCCACTTGTTTATTTCTGTTTTCATTGCTTGTGCTTTTTGTGTCATTTCTATGAAATCATTGTTAAGACCAATTTCATGAAACCTTTTCCCTATGTTTTTTTCCCTGGGACTTTTACAGCTTTACATCTTATGTTTAAATCTTCAATCCGTTGTGAGTTGATTTTTTTGTGCTTGCTAGAAGGGTCTAATTTCATTCTTTTGCATGTGATAATCGTAAGCTCTCTGTTATTCTACAGAATGTGGTTCATGAATGGATATATATTCATTCCCATACCCTGGAGAATATACATACATATATTCCAGATTCTAATATATGTGTTTCTGGATAGTGTATCTAAAATTTTTATTCTTCAGCTAAGAAAAGTAATTCCACGTATGATCTGAAGACAAACATGACAAACTGAATTTTCCCTCAAAATATTAGTTTATCTATTTGTTGACATATATTGAGCACTTAAAACATACATGATGCCGAGACATTAGAATGTTCTTCTATTTATATTTGAAAGATATGAGGAGGGGTATAAGTCTCAAAGCCTGTGTTTTGGGCAGAGTGATTGAATGGCCACCCGTATAGGAGAAGCAATCCAGTGCATTGTGAATGCAGAGAGGCTAGGACTGAAGAGGCAGTAGGAATCTTGACAAGACGTGAGGAAGATCAAAATTAAGGTAAAGATGTTTAACATGTATAAGAGAGAATAAAATTTTGGTAGCGGAGTTGTTAGAACTGATCAGATATAATGTTGAGGGAGAGAGAGAAATTGGAAATGATCTTCAGGTCTTGAGGACTTTACTGGAAGACTTAAAGGAATAAAGTGTCTACATGGGTCACAGGGAACGAGAGAAGAGCAGGAAAAGTCAGAACAATAGAATATTATCCAGCCATAAAAAAAGAATGAAATAATGCCATTTGCAGCAATATAGACAGACCTAGAGATTATCATACTAAGTGAACTAAGCCAGACAGAGAAAGACAAATGGTTTTGCAAATTTTGCATAATCAAGTCATTTTAATCTCCATCAATTAAGACTGCTTTCTCCACTCAGATTTCCACTTCCCTCATCCTTCCCCTCTTGCTGGGTGGTGTTGGAGAGGCTACAAGTTTTTTTGGATCCAGTGAAAGTCCGTAGACAACATTTTTTGAAAATTGAGTTAGGAATGCATTTAATTTGGGCTCGGTGGGACATGTGGATACAGTTTATAGTCACTTTGGTATATTGTTGGTATTGCTGGTCACCCAGGTTGTAGCAGAAATGCAATGTATTTCATTACAACATCATGTTGATTTTTTTTTTGTATTTAGTTTAGATTAACACAGGAACTGACCTTATTCAGAAGACTGAGCCTCAGAATCACTTTCCTTTTCAGACTGAAAAGTTTATTTTTATGGAGAAATAAGCAAAAGTTAAAATGTCAGCTTTCTTTGTTTAATTGGTAGGATTACTTCCTATAGGGAAAATAATCATAGACAATACTTACTGAATGCTAACCTCTTTTTACTACTTTCCACTCCATTTTCTAGCTGAGGAGCTGAGACATAGAAAGGGTTAGTAGTTTTCCCAATGCTGCACAACTTACACATGGCAGAGCTGGGATCCGGAGCTGGGGACTCCGGGTCCAGTCAATAACTTAAATCACTGGGTCTCCATCCCTGGGTTAGAAGTTAGAAGGCCCTGGGTATAATGTCTTTGGGACTTCAGACAAAGCAGGTGGCTTCTCAAGATCCTCAGGTTTCTCGTCAGATAAATGCAGGTAGACAAGTCTTTAGTTGGCCCCATTTGGGTGATCTCATGACTGTTCAAGAAAGCTGTGACCCCTTTCCATGAAGTAGAACAGATGCACCAATACAATGCACCATCCATCCCTGGACATCTTAAAACCCTCCTCTTAGCCCTAGGCTAAATCCCCTGGACTACGAAATCTGAAAATTTCACACTAGTCTAATGTGTTGCTATTTTAGGAAAAGATGACTTCTAGTTGATCAGTGACTTTTTAAAAGGACAAGAGCTCACCACTCCAACAATCCATTAAGTGATTGTTCAGTATCTTTACTAACCATTTGGTTTGGGTTGTATTTCTGTTTTTTTGTGACCTTGAGTTCTCTGAGTGCAGCTGAAGTCTTTTCAATTTAAGACATATTTTATTAAAAAAAAAAAAAAGAAAGAAGGGCTTCCCTGGTGGCGCAGTGGTTGAGGGTCGGCCTGCCGATGTGGGGGACGCGGGTTCGTGCCCCGGTCCGGGAGGATCCCACGTGCTGCAGGGCGGCTGGGCCCGTGAGCCATGGCCGCTGAGCCTGTGCGTCCGGAGCCTGCGCGTCTGGAGCCTGTCCTCCGCAGCGGTGAGGAACTATTTCAGGTGCATTTGGATTGAACCACTGTGAAGAAGTTATGGTGTTTACTTGAAGCTAATAAAATAATTTATGTTTTCCCTGTAAATGAGATCAGAAAAACAGCCAAGGTGTCAATACCAAAATCAATTTGAAAAGGATCTACTATGAAATTAGGTTTCTCAAATAAAATGTAGTTTAACAAGAGGGCATTCACTTTTTCTTCCTTCTTATGGGGGTGCTTTTCATTAGAATGTAAAAATGATGGCATGTCTTGAAGTGGTAAATTTAATATGTATCAAACTTGATGGCTTTGAAGATCAAAGGATTGAGTTTCAATTTAAATGTATGGATTTTTTATTAAAAAATAACAAAGTATCTCACTGGAAAATAGATCAAGAGACATTTTGTGTATTCTTTCTGTGTCACCTAAGGAAATTGCAAAATTCAATTGCATGCATTCAAAATTGTGTAAGATTTAGTATATACAGGCAGGAAACTACTATGTATAGATTTTTAAAATGCACTATTACTGTTCTGCCCTTGAGTCAAAATGCATTAATATTTTGGTTCTTTTCTCGGCAACTTTTGGTTGAAAGATTGTTCATTATTGTTGAATTTCAATATGATTGCAAATTAAATGATGCAAAACTCAATAAAGTAAGATACACAAAAGACCAATTAACATGTTATCTCAGTACGTATATAGAATGAGAGAACATACTGTTCTACACAGTACCATATAATTAAGATGTAATCACAGATCAAGGAAATATTATAACTTGTTTAGGTGCACAGGTGGCTTTTAGAAAGATTGATTAGCTCCTCTTTGCCCCCTTGAGATGTGAGTTCATTTTTATTCCTGCAAAATCAAACAGAATAATTTCTCAAACTTCCCACAGTGTGTAGGCTTCAATGCAAACAGCATGTTGGAGATAAATATTTGCAAAGTGTTCATCTCCTTGTCCATTCCTGTTCCAGATGCTCTCTACGATGTCATCACTGTGGGAGCCCCAGCTGCGCATTTTCAGGGATTTAAGAATGGTGGTCTTCGGAAACTACTCCATAGATTTGAAACGGAAAGAAGAAAGTAAGTGATGACAGGATGCACTAATGATATTTACCTTCTCTTTGGGGAAGATCGTATACCAGGTTAGGATAAAGAAGCTTGGTCCATCACAATGAATAGTTCTTGACATCTCCAGCCTATTCAGGAAGAAAGCATTAAAAATAAGTTAGGGGCTTCCCTGGTGGCGCAGTGGTTGAGAGTCCGCCTGCCGATGCAGGGGACACGGGTTCGTGCCCCGGTCCGGGAAGATCCCACATGCCGCGGAGCGGTTGGGCCCGTGAGCCATGGCCGCTGAGCCTGCGCGTCCGGAGCCTGTGCTCCGCAACAGGAGAGGCCACAACAGTGAGAGGCCCGTGTACCGCAAGAAACAAAAAAAACAAAAAAATGGAATAAAATAAATAAGTTAGAATTGTGTAACTGATATACTGTTATATAAATGTATAAACTAGCAATGCATATATATATATATATATTATATATATATATGTCTTGTTTTAAAGAAATTGTCTATGTACTGATACAATATTATTAACTCAACTACCTCCTTATTAAGATTTCTCTAGTTTTCAGTTTTGGTTTTGGTTTTTTGGTGGGCAGGATATATAGTTCTATGAGGTTGTATCACAGGTGTAGATTAGAGTAAGCATCACCATAATCATCATAAATAACTGTCCCATTACCACATAGAAACTCCATCAGGTTATCCTTTAATTGTCACATCCTTCCCCCAGACCCTTTGGCTGCAGAAAGTGGTTCTTTTGCCCTATTATTTCAACAGGGAGTGGACGTCAGAGTTCCAGCTAGGGGCTCTGAGGGGAGAGGTACCTTCTATGTAATTCATGAAGGTTGGAAATCAGTTCAGTGACAGACCGCATGGGGAAAGGGATGCCATCACTTTACTGAAATGAGAATAAGAGTGAAATACAGGCTCAACCTTGGCTGCACATTAGAATCACCTTTAGAGCTTTAAAATATTTTATCTATGCCAGGATATCACCCCAGACATATAAAGTCAGTTCTGGGAATGGAGCCCAGGCATTGGTAAGTTTTAAAAGCTTCCCAGGTGAGACTGATATGTGGCCAGGGTTGAGAACCACTGATACAGATGTAAGTGAATAATGCTGGGAGAAGACAGGTGAAGGGTGTGGAGACTAGAAACAGGAATAGTGACACAGATGAGTTAAACTTGAAAAATGTATAGAACATCAATTAGTATCTATCAGGAGAAAAGAAAATCTACATTAAGGAATATTTGTTGCAATACAGAAGAAAAGCATTACATCTTGTTTATTGGAAATTTTTCTTTAAAGAATCCCCAACTCATTAAATTGTTGCAAAATGGAACCAAAGATGGGGATAAAGCTGTAAGAGTTTTGATCTGGGAAAACTTGGGCCTGAGTAATCGTGGACGAATAAAACCTAGCATATTATAGAGCTTTTCATGCTTTAGACATGAGACTTTTCTAGGAGAACCAAAACCCTAATTACTCATATATTATTTGGGGGTTTTTTTGTTTGTTTTTAAAATTTTTTTAAGCTTTTTTTGTTGTAGTAAAATATATGTAACATATAAATTTACCATTTTAATCATTTAAAAATTTTTTATTGGAGTATAGTTGATTTACAATGTTGTATTAGTTTCAGGTGTACAGCAAAGTGATTCAGTTTTACACATATATATATAAGTATATATACTTTTTCCCATGTATTCACTTGTTCATCAAACACTTATGTGTTTCTGGATTTGGTGATTTACCTAGGCACTATTTGAAAGCTTGTGGACTCCTCCCTCAAAATATGAATCAATTCTTTACTTCCAGTATTTCGTAAAAGGAAGGGAAAATCTACCACAACAACACATACTTTGCCGGCTTTGATCATTTGTGATTTCAGCAGG